TAATCTGTAATTCGGCTATCTATTTAAGATGTTAAAGTTTAGATATAATGGAGAAATAATGATCGCCGCTGTGATAATGATACGTAATACATAATAATGTATGTATACATGTATGTATATGTATATGTACATATGAAAAATGCCAGATTCTACGATGAATTTATACATATGTACAATTGATTAAATATTATGTACGTATGTNTAATCTGTAATTCGGCTATCTATTTAAGATGTTAAAGTTTAGATATAATGGAGAAATAATGATCGCCGCTGTGATAATGATACGTAATACATAATAATGTATGTATACATGTATGTATATGTATATGTACATATGAAAAATGCCAGATTCTACGATGAATTTATACATATGTACAATTGATTAAATATTATGTACGTATGTGGTTATATCTTAAGCTGCCTGAATTAAAAAAGCAATTGTTCTTTGAGAAAATTACTATATTTCCAACTATCCGAAGCTTAAAAAACGATTTAATTCCGTAAATATTTCAACTGTCGCTACAGACTTATTATACAATGAAGTTATCTTTACTTTCGAGTTTTAACGTATAAACTTTTGATTACACTGTTATACACTAGATTTCGTTTTTGGTGTTAACTAATGTTTTGGAAGTATGTACATATCTGTTATATGTCCCCAGCGTTGGTGATTAAATTTTATTTCGACAACACGAAAATACATACATATATGAACATACATATAAAGTACATATGTACATACGTACAAGTATACATATGGGTCGTAAATATTTCTGTTGCTTGAAATTCGATTATAAAGGACAGCGATCACCTTGAATATCATTTTATTTATTCCAAAACATGATATGTAATAACGGCCTAAAGTTTGTACGTATACAAATAACAAATAATATATCAAAATGTTTTATAATTACTTTTTAAAACAAGGCGCAAAATATTATGTCGAAGCACAATGTTAACTTTGACCAATTTTTGATTTAAATAATCGAGAGTATCGATAATCAGTATCGATATCTTGGACTTTTAAAAAAATCGGAAAGTATAAGATGTCCTTTGGAAGGGGCGAGAGACGGTGGCCGAGAGGCACACATCAAAATGGCCGCATTTTAGTCTACAGACGATTTTTCTTTACTGTTTGCCAATAGCCGTGTAAAGGGCCTGGCAGTGTTCCCCAAAGTGGCAGATCTGTTTCGCTGGAAATTTCACTGTTGAATAACTTGAAAATTTTCGTGAAATAGAGCAAACTTCGGTAAGAAAATTTGACCGCATAGTTCCACTGCCAAATAGCCGGGCCAAGCCCATTGTCTATTGACTGATTCGTTCGAAGAAAAGAAATGCATTTTATCTAGTCAACATTATCGTATTTCTTAACTGCTGACAAATTTCTTAAGTTTTCGTCGTAACCTAAATAGTACATGTATTCAACGATACTGTCAAACAAATTCGAAACTTAGTCACTGTCTTTAGAATTCTAAAATCCCAGCTTACACTATGTTAATTTACATTAAGTGGTTGGATTTATTCTTCAACCAAAAGTATGATTCGAACGAACCATTATTGTTAATCTTTAATTATCGTACGTAAATATTTAAGCTTTCCATATAAATATTAATTTATGTAAGTTGTGTTTATTTATGTCAATTGCGTTTTTTATCCGCAATCTATTTGATATTGTATTTTAATTTCAGGTTCTGCATAACTTTTTATACAATGATACGTCATCAACATCATACAATGCAAAACCAACTACGAGATCATAATAGGTTTGTAATGATTCTTATTACTGCATATTTTAACCCTTGATCGATATTCAGTCTTCTGTTAGATATAACGGAGATATGTGTTCTGTCTCCTTTCTTCTAGAATGGGAGGTCCGATGCGACCTATGCAACAGGCTAACATGGCCCCTTTACACCAGCCTCAGCATCCGTTACCGCATCGGAATCCACATCAACAAATACTGTCCATGCCCCCCCATCAACAACATATTCATCACATACAACATCCTGGTCCACCACATGGAAATCCACGGCAACCAATGTTGATGGGCATGAATGCACACAATACAAGCGGTATTAATAGATGATTTTAATTGTAATTCTGTACATTCTGAAACAGTGCTTGCCTAAATATAATTATATTACTTTGTAGGCACCATGGTTAGCGTCAGTTTAAAAGACCAAGCGAACACTGTCTCTGTGACTCTACAAAATCCAAATGTGCAACCACCGCAATATCCGCAGCAAAATACACAACAGAATCCTCCTTCGCAACAACACGTGCCACAACCACAACCCATAGAACAAAATAAACAGACCACAAATGAAACCAATAATGGAGAGTCCAGAGAGCAGAGTCCACCTACCCAAAATCACGTTAACGTGACTGATCCAGCTTTGGCAAACATGAAAGAAAAAACACCAATGTGCTTATTGAATGAGTTAGCACGTTTTAATAAGATTCAGCACCAATATAGGTTGACTAACGAACAAGGACCAGCGCACAAGAAACGATTCACGGTAACCCTGAAACTCGGCCAAGAGGAATACATTGCCGAAGGTCCTAGTATAAAGAAAGCTCAGCATAGTGCTGCTACAGAAGCGTTAAACAAGACCTGGTATCAACGGCCTCCACCAAAACCTACAAAGGCGATGAGAGTAGCACATCCAGAAAAATGGTTCAGTGGTTCTGGTAGTTGCATAGTATATTTTAAACATTCTAGAGCAAGATGCAAAAATCAGTGCTGTAATATGTATCAACTATGAACGGCACTGATATGAATGATTTGAAGTATTACAGAGAATTCTTTTGCAGGGAATTTGCCACCAACCGTCGAGTTAAATGCTTTGGCTATGAAAAGAGGAGAACCCACTGTTTATACCATTAGACAGGCTCCCCCAGCAGGGTTACAGCAATATGTTACGCACGGTCTAGGACACTTTCCCCGCATATTTAATCCACGTTTTCCTACGTATAATCGTAGTTTCCATGCAGAACCTCAATTGTATTTTATATCTTTAAAAGTAACTGAATACCCGATTGTTATTGAAATTCTGTTGTAAAAACGTGTAGCATGCATTAAACGTCCAAATTTACAGGTAGGAGAACGCGAATTCATTGGTAGGGGTCTGACAGGTCAAGCAGCACGTCATGACGCAGCAAGTAAAGCTTTAGAACAGTTGCGTCAATTACCATTACCAGAAGTAGCGAATACTTGTAGCACGGGCGAGAACGGTACTATAGGCGATGCCAAAGACCCCATCGCCGAATTGAAAAGTCCTGTATCGTTGGTTCACGAGAGGGCATTGAAACGTGGTTTACCTGTTAGTTTCGAAGTTGTATCTGAAATCGGTAAGCCTCATATTCGGACATTTAAAACACAATGTACTATCGGAGACAAAGTTACGTTTGGAGAAGGACCCTCAAAGAAGGTAAGTTGTACATATGGTATATTCACCAGTAAAACATCAGTATTTTCAATATTGCAATATTGCTAATATTTTATGGTCTATCATCCTTTAGGTATCGAAAAGACATGCAGCCGAGTTTATGCTGGAAGAACTGAATCGTTTGCCTCCGTTGCCCGAAACTATACAAAATCGTCCGATGCGAGTAAAGCGCAAATCGACAACGACAAAGAAAAAATCACGAAATTTAATAAAAGTTTATCAAGAGCCACGATCCGAGTCTGAAGCTGCGGAGAAAGTAAATCCAATCTCACGATTGGTTCAAATTCAGCAAGCTAAACGAGAAAAAGAGCCCGTCTATAATTTAATTGAAGAGAAAGGCGGCCCAAGACGAAGAGAATTCGTCATGGAAGTTACTATGGGTCAGCATTCCGCTCAAGGAATGGGTCCTAATAAAAAGCTAGCTAAACGAGCCGCGGCGGAAGCTCTTTTGACTCAATTAGGATACAGTAAACCACAGCCAACAAAACCATCGATAAAAACAGGAGAAAATGAGAACACTGAATCAAAGCCTAGGAAAGTTACCTTTTTGGAAGATGAACAGATCAATGAAACCCCATCTCATCCAGTTGGAGGTAAGACAATAAAATTGAAAAATCAGGTATAGCCAAGCACTGCCCTTGCGATCAAAAGAGCCAAAGATAGGTAGGTATTAAGAGAAAAATGCGGCGGGGAAATCTAATAGAGTAGTAGGGATATCGTGTGAAAGCAAACTTGCTTTGTCATTCACACGGCTTTGGCTTTACAGTCACTGATGAAATCGGTTTGGACGTACCTAATGTACAATATTCGTCGTGCGTGAGTATTTTGAAAAATCTTTGTCAATTGTGATCAGGAACGATTGGACGTCAGTTAGTACCTGGACTTTTGTTGGTGGACGGAGGTCAAGAATCGAAATTGGGTAGCGGACCTAGTGTACAAATTGTTGCCGAAGAACTGCGAGGACAACAACAACAAAACCCAGCTACAGTTTCTCCTAAAGATCAATTAATGTATCTGTCTCAATTATTGGAGTTCAGTGTGGAATTCAACGATTTTCCTAAGGTATAATATATTGGTTCGTATATATAAAAATATGTACGCGTGATTGCAATAGTTTTCAAAACTTCTAGGGTGCAGTAAATAAAGAATATCTATCACTGGTGACGTTGAGTACAGACCCACCGCAAGTTTGTCATGGCAATGGGCCGACAAGGAACGCGAGCCGTAATCAAGCGGCATTGAAAGCTTTACGCACTTTAAGCAAGCTGGGTCTTGACAATGCATCCAATCCGCAAACAAAAAAAGATAAAGGTGCGTCCGGGGATGGAATTCATATTAGCATTCAAGTTAAAAACAATATAATGGATGGAACTATCGATAAGTAATCATATAGTGTCTAAGGCTTATCTAACGTATCTTTAATTTACATTGCCGTTTTAAGGCATTGCAAAGGAAAGCTAACTTATTCATAGAAATTTTCACAAATCATGGATAAGAAAAAGGCACGTTTTAAAATGATCTTAAAAAAGCGCGTGATTTTATTATAGGTTTAATATTAATATAGACAATTAATATTAGACCTTGATACTTTGAATTGTATCGTGGAATTCTCAAGATTAATAATTTGATTTACGCGTATACATACAAACATACTTGAGTGGTCGATTACATTTATTATTATTATTATCATAATTATCATACATCATCTCAATATCATTGTCATCTTCATCGTCATTATCACCACGATTGTCATCATCATCATCATTATCACTACCACCGCCATCATCATCATCGTCATTATTATTATTACTATTATTATTATTCTAATTATTAATTATAATACTATCTTGCTAATTTTATGTAATCAGAATTGCAGATTTTCGTTTTTATTAGTGTGCACCGTTGCTTTTAGTCTTCCTAAATTATATTTTTGTATGTAGCACCATAATCAATACGTTTTGCTTTTTATTAATATATTTACGTGTAATTACAGTTGTTGAATGAACTCTAATCGACGGGAAATGATACTTCTTGGTCAGTCTCTCTGGGCCTTATTACACGATAACTTCAAACATTGAATCACCGATGACTCGGTCTTCGCATATTACGCCATTACGTCTTTAACATAATGGACCGCGTATTTGGAAGATCAATAGCTTTTACGGAGGATCAGTCTTTTGCAGTGCCTTAATCGCGTCAGGAAAATTGCTCAAGCACCAATAACCACTCAAGTTATTAATGAGATAAAAAGAGAGAGAGAGAGAGAGCGCATGCAGAAATGTAATTTGTTTTACAAGTGGCCAGAAACGAGCATTCGCAGCAGCGTCTCCAACAGATTTTTGCGACCATCTTGAAGCTTAAATGGTACTAAAGCGTCGGATCTACATTCGATATGGGGCGATTACGTATCGAATGACATCATTTATATTACAGTTTTTTTCTACGCTTGTAGAACTACGGTATGGTACCTCGACAGAGAAAGAAAGAGAGGAAGAGAAACATAAGAATTCTTATTGGTGCTTGATCAAGATTGTGATCCTAACAGTGTACATCGACTCTACTATATTTATTATAACAATTACGTTGATAGGACCACAATCGGTAAACACGAGTCGTCGCATAGACGTCATAACCGAATGAATAAAATGATCATACTCCAGAGAGTCATGGTTTATGATCATTAGAACATTGTAGAAACATTTAAGCGAGAAGAATATTGAAATCTGAGATGAAATGCGGCCATCTCTTAATTTCTCTATTTAATCCTTAGCTTTCTCATTCTTCCGCGAATAGAATGTCTGTTATGTCTTATTACCTGATATCAGCGCATTCGAATCGGTGAAATACTGCATTTGGTTCGTGGATTTTCGTGTACATAAGTTCAAAAAGAAATTTGAAAAAGATAGATGAGTTTGATCAGAATTTTCATTTTGTTGAACGAAACGCAGTTCTTTTCAATCACGATTATCCTGAAAGTGTACATAACGGTCTACAGTAACTTCCATTAATATTCGGACACTTTTTAAAACTGCATCAAATAATTTGAATTTTTTTTAGATGATATAGGGACTAACATACTAGATAATGACTAAATTACTTTATTACAATTTTGTTATTACTTGTTATGACAAAACAAACTAAAAAATTTTGTTTTTTTTTAACTTTTTTATCTGAGCTTATAACGAAAGTTTAAAAAATGCGTTTTGTAGATCTTGATAAGTTGTATGCATGATGAAAATTTCATTGAAATCGGTTAACGCAAAGACAAGTTGCAAGCATTAAAAGATTTTAAAAACTGCAGATTTCTCGCGCTTATTGATCGGAAATGTCAAAAATCGGAACAAAACTGCAATTTTTGTGATCTTCAATTGTTTAACAGCTCATACCAAAGTCAACTGATTTCGATGAAATTTTCAACATGCATATAAATTATCGAGATCAACGAGACGCATTTCTTAAATTTTCGTTATAGGCTCAGGAAAAAAAAGTTAAAAAATGAGAGTATTTATTTTCTTTTATCATTCTAAGCAATAACAAAATTTTAGAAGAAACTTTCTAGTAATTGTCTAGTAAACTGATCCCTTTATTATCTAAACAAAAATTCAAGTCGTTTAGTGTAGTTCTAAGAAAGTTATTACGTTTCAAAAGTTGTGCGAATATTAATGGGAATCATTGTAAGTAACACGAAGCGCGCATCTTCGATACGAAATTTAACATGTCAGAACATGTCAGAGAGTTACGTGCTTCAAGCGTCTCCAATCGAATGAAAGCTCTCATTCCTGTTTTAGTTTTAATTGCTAAGACTACCAAACCTTTGGTAATTCATTGGAGACTCTTCAACGTACTCAATAAACTCTGCACTCGTTTCTGTTCAGTTTTGTAGAATTGAAGAAAGGTAATGTGATATATTCATATATGATTGCCCCAATTTGCTTTTTTGTGGGGCCTAGAAGCACTCTGGGGTTATAATATTCGTGTTCCGTGAGGTATTGAGAAGTAAAGGACATTCAAATTTTCGTACATCCGTTATCCACTAAGAAAACCTGATTTGATTCTGGATGTATCGGAAATTGTAGTAGGAAATGGTAATAATTCAAAATTTGTCCCGTTACGTCATAATCGCGATCAAAGATACATTTTATCGCGGACTCATCGCGATGGTACGCAACGTAACGATATACTTGAAGCGTCATGAATTTTGTCTTATTGCCAAGATTAATTTTTAACGATATTAAGGCAACGATTAAGAAAAAAGAAGAAAAAGATATAATAATGAATGAAGATAACGTCGAGAGATCATCAACCTTGATCGCGTATCTTTGTCTAATGGTGAAAGATAAATACGACGTTACAGTTCGTGCCGAAGACTTATCTTATATTCATTATTTGCATAAATCTATTTGAAAGATATCTCGAATGTTATTCGACGATAATGAAAACAGAACAAAATGAGAGACAGCAGCGGTATTATTCGATTGCGGAATTCATGATGTATGTCCATGATCGATTCTTCTTTTATGATCTGCAACGCAACTCCGTATTAATGGAGCTCTATTAAAGAAGAAACGAGAAAAATTGTAGAGTTCAAAATAAAAAATGACCCGCGTAAATGAGAATTCTAGTTTTCAAATTACGAGTTGAAGAAATGTTACTTGTGCGACGAGCAAGTTCGTATAATTAACGATACGTTCACCCTACGAGTAATAGCTCGAGTCGAATTAGAAAACGGCATTAACTTCATTTTCCATATGTTCTTCTTTTTACAAGGGTCGTTTCATTTTGAACTCGTTATCGCTTGTACATTATTTATGAAATTCTTTTTTCTGATTAAGGCAATCTTTCGTATTACCTTGCGCGCGATAATTTACAAAATTATTTATATAAATAGATAACTCGAGGACGAGATAATGAATGTTCCTTTTTCCGAGATATCGCTTCATAGATGGGCCTTCCTTCTTCCCGTAGGATTCACTGTTCCAACAATGGAAGAAAAGAGAACGAAGGAAACGATTTCGCGTGTGTGTTAAAACGTCTCTTTCCTTATTTTTGTTTTCTTTCGTCTGATTAGATTTCGAACGAATAATAATGTTCATAGACGAAATGTGAATCTTGCGAAAAGCGTACCCCACCCCTTCCCCGTTGCAGGACCTATTTTATCCGCGTAAACTATAATACAATAGTTAGTCGTAATAATAAGCAAATAAAGTATTAATTACTAAGCTGTACGAAGTGGAACTATCTCAAAGGAATAAAAAGGATGAAGCCAATTTCGAGAAACGTTGCAGATACATTAGAAATAAACTTTTTTTGTTTTCTTCTTTTTCTGTTATATCTGTAACTGTCGGGCAGCGATGATATCAACGCTGAAAATTGTACGCTTATTTATAACCGTATTATGAATTACCAATTAATAATAATGTATATTATGTTTTCGGTCTCAAGAATTATAATTTTTATGCGAACTATAGCAATTTAATGATTTCTGTTAAAAAATGGGAAATTTTTGTGAACTTGTACTGATAACAAAGAAATCGTTTCAGCAAAAGTAAAAAAAAAAGACTAATCTAATTACCAGAAAGATTTTGTGACGAAGGATTGTACGTTAGTGTCTTTGTTGAACAAGGAAATCACGATTTATACACAAACCACACACACACACACACACAACACTCTCATTGTTTACAGACAATGGAAATTGTGCTTGTTTTGTTTTATGTATGTTTGTAGTCGGTTTTTTTGAGTTTTTCTTATTCATTCCTCGAGAGACTACAGTTGCAAAATGTGATTTTCAATAACATAGAATGAAAACAAAAACCAAGATAACGATATTACTGAAGAAACTAAAAGAGTAGCAGTATATGACAGTGAAGATTTTACACTGATAAAGTTTTTTATTGCCGAGGAATCGTCAACTCCGTTTTAAAAGAAAAAAAAAAACTGGTTTAATACGTAGACGTCTATCACTTATTTAAATATTATCGGTTTGTATTTGACATCAATAAACGATTGTAAAAACGTTCATGTTCGTGTGGTATTCATCTTACCAATTCCTCGACGTTTTCATCGATTTAAAATCTTCGATATTCGTAAGGAATTCGAGACAATCGATTTCCAATGTTCTTGCGCATCTCACGGCAACATTGATCAAACAGAAATTGTATAGGTTATGTTCATCGGCAAAGTTATTTCGGAGAATCAAATTTCTGAAAAAAAATAATAAGTTACAATGAAAATGTACGCGTTTATTAAACAGTGTTAAACGTTATATAGATTCATTGTCCCGGAATAGAAATGATTCGAAATGTATAACTTGTCGATAAGTGTTAGTGTTGTAAAATGAAGGGAGGTTAAGTTGTACATAAATACCACGGAGTGCACAAAATTTCTTTGGAAACGTATCCATCCAATTTATAGTAGTTTGAAAGGAAAAATTTGGGAAAAAGCAACATTTACGTTAAAAACGGAAAATGTTTAAGAATACATTCCAAAGTGGATTTTTATCAATCTTGTATAGTATCGGTAGCAAACCGTTACAGATTTGGGATAAGAAAGTAAGAAATGGTCATATAAAGAGAATAACGGATAATGATATACAAAGTTTAGTACTCGAAATATTGGGTAGTAACGTTAGTACAACGTATATCACGTGTCCAGCAGATCCCAGGAAAACTTTGGGCATCAAATTGCCGTTCTTAGTAATGATCATCAAAAATCTGAAAAAGTACTTTACATTTGAAGTTCAGGTAAGATACAAAAATCAAATCATCTTTTAAGGTTTTATCATTGATTTACAAATTTCATCAAATTAGTTTATTTTAGGTAATCGATGATAAGAATGTACGCCGTAGATTTCGAGCTAGCAATTATCAATCTACTACCAGAGTGAAACCCTTTATTTGCACTATGCCGATGAGACTGGACGATGGATGGAATCAAATTCAATTCAATTTAGCAGACTTTACTAGACGCGCGTATGGAACAAACTATGTGGAAACATTGAGAATTCAAATCCATGCCAATTGTAGAATAAGAAGGGTATACTTCTCGGATAGATTATATTCGGAAGACGAATTACCTGCGGAATTTAAATTATTCTTACCTATACAGAATAAAGCAAAGTGTTAAATTAAGAGTATATTTATAATTTTGTACGTTGGATTGAATGGAAGAACTAGAATGCACAATTGATAGTTATAAACTGATCGCATTTGTGACATGGATTTAGAGTTTAAATTGATCAAATAAATATATATACACTTTGTACTTTGACAAATATATTCATTCCATACACCATAATAATATTCTATGACAATAATTGTGAAGGTAATTATATATATTTCATGAAATATACTTCCTCAAGAAAAGAATTTCTTAGCATTCAAACGAGATATACATTTATTTAGCTATACTATTTATCGTAGTTTTGTTTTAATATTAAAATCAATATAGGTTAATTGATTAAATATTTTTACAAATGATTGCGGCAATCTAAAATCATAATCAAGATTAAAAATTAGTTACATTAGGTTATAAATCGTTTGATAGACCATTAACCATAATTTAGTATTTTTAAAATGAAAAGAAGTTGATTACGTTAAATCTTTTGATAGTTCATGTAAATCAACTTTACACAGATAAGTAATATACTTCTAATTAATAATTATTCTGGCTGATTGATAAAGATATGTATAAAATTGAACGTTAAAAAATACACGGAACGTGAAGGAACGTTAAAACTTGAGAGGACAAGGTATTGTTCGTATATACCGAAAGAATGTATTAATTGCTAATTATTAAGTATTGATTTTTTTTAAATGGGGCCGTAGCATATCCAAGGGGGAGGCTGTTCGTTCGCAAGTACACTGGAACTATTTTCCACACCGACAAAAACGTCCACAATCATTCCTCCCTCCACATGCGCGTAGTAATACACGAGCAGAAAAATGGCGGGAAAGTTTCGAAAAATTCATACCGTTTTTTCCGATATCCGATAACTTTGGAAAAAATCTATCGATCTGTGTACATTCCTGGTGCAATAAACTTGTCGTTGCATCGATACACCGGCTACAAGGTAAATCAGTTCGCCTTCTGTGATTGAAAACGAAAAAATACAAACGAATGGGCGAAAGAAGATGGCGGACCAATTAAGAGTACCGCGCTGATACATTTTATTCTTTATTTGTGATGAGGGGTAGTATTTTAGAAATGAGAACCGAACTATTTAACGAGGTAACATTAATTAACGCGTAAACAACCAGGGAACGATATAAAAGACTCGCTGTAACATCCTGTAACAGTGATATCATTTAATACGGGCGGAATCCATAAATAAAACAATTGGTTATATACATATGTTTTTCAAATCGACGAATGCTATTATATATTTTGTATTGAGCACTCGTTTCGGGAGAGAGACGCCGACGCCCGGCGCCGACGTCGTTTTTAAAGCGTCAACGTTGTGCCAGAGTAATCTCACCCAATCCGGGGGACTCATAAGTAAAAAAAAATCGTTAGAATAATCAACCCTCTTGGACACGCTGGCACATCGTAAAGATGCATCGGTGAAAAGTTTTATTGTCGGAGGTTTTCGACATTTTTCATTGAGGTGTTAAGATAACGAGCCAGAGAAAGGGGGGGAGAAAAATATAACAATGAGCGATGAAATTAACGTTGTGAACAAAGAGGCGTGAAACCGTTTCTCCGTAATTGTACGATTTTTTTTAAATTCGTGCTCCGGCATCGAGATACGTATCCGTTGTGCAAAAGAAACGTGGGTCCATCCTTCACGTGGGTGATAGCTCGTCGACTAAATTTTTTCTTTCACGTTTCATTTTGAAATGGGTACGGCGGGTCGCGATTTCGAACGCGATCGGGAGGACGAGCTCCACTGTCGAATTTGTGCTAGTGACATACCAAGAAACGACGGGGTCCACATTTTCGCCGAGGATGGTAGACGGCACTACCTGCAGACCAAAATACGAAAATATCTGTACATCTTGGTGAGTCTGACCGCGCTCCATGCGAATCACTACGATCGCCGTTGTATGCGCGCCTGCATGGATACAAGTCGAACCGAGTTTGTGTGTGCACTTTTTTTTCGAAATCTCACTGGGACCCTCTCTCTGATCTCTGATCTGTGATCTGTCGACCCCCTTCGTACCCCATAATTCGTAAACGTGAACAAGTGTAAGTGTGTGATCGTCCGAATTCAAAACGGCATACTATAATGTTATCTAGTAGATTCAGATTTTTTTTCTAAACTATGTTTACTCTATAAGCGTACGGTTTGCCATTTGATTAATTTGTCTGATTCCAAAAATTAATCGACCAATTGCATTACTATTTCTTTTTTTAAAAATGTAATCAATTGAAAAAAATGTCACTGAAATCGTATTTAATTCATGGATGAATACATTTGTACGACGAATTTTTATGTAAACTAAAATATATTTTTTGTAGAATATATAAAATATTTCGTTAACAATACGGTCTATGATTTGTGATTTTTTAATATGGAAGAATTTTCAAAGGGTTATTTTCTGAACATGGTGCAACGATACACTTCAAGCAAAGTACGTACGAAGACAATTTTTTCTCGTCGGTGCAATTACAAATGGTAATTAATTCGATCGAAATGTGTACGGATATGCAACTGGAGTATAATAATGTATATTGAATAGGAATATTTCTAAAGGATAGCCTATTCAGGGATCCATTTTGTTACGAATATAAAAGTGTTAAAAATTAGCATTTTATTGATTACAATAAGTATACCTTATACGATATACATGCACATACGTATGTGCACATATATACACTCATACATCAAATAAATGTAATCCAATACGTGAAACGCTTACCAAACACAGTATGACGTTTTCTACATTAAAGTCAGCGGTAAAATATTTAACGTATGATTAACGACATAATTAAATATTTTTAATACGAATAGAAAAATGTTGACTTTAATCTAAAAGTCAGATTAATTTATATTTAATGATAAAAACGTTCATAAAAAATTGAGAATTTGATTGTGATATTGACAATATTTTTTTAATTACTAATGTATTTTTAATTAATATCATATTCTGGTTTATCGTTTATCTTGCATTTATTATGTAAATTGTGTTACAGGTATCTTCCGAAGATAAGTTTTCAAAAATGGTGTGCGTTACATGCATCAAAAGATTAGAAAGCATTCATCGCTTTGCAATGATGGCATATAGAACCCAAGAGAAATTAAGGTTGCAATTATATAATAGTATAGATAATACAAACTCTGTGCAGGATGTGGATTCGGACAGTGTTAAAGACCCACAAGATGGAACGAAAAGAGCGGAAGATCGAGGATTGCTACATACGATACTAACAAAAGTAAACAGAACACATTCTTTATTAGAAGTCGTTTTGTCAAATTATGTTAGATCGATGTTTTCTTGCAGGGTGCAATAGAAATTTTGGCAGAAGGTGAGCCATTGGGACCATCGGAATTAATGTCGCAAGAAGACAAATGTCTTACTCCAAGTATGGAAGAAATGGAAGTTAAAGTAGATCCAATGTTATTTTTACAATACGGTATGGAACAGTCAGAATCTGAAACCTCGGTGACTTCAGATACAGAAGATAAAATAACAAGAATCGATTCTCTGGAACCATTACCTTTAACGAACAAGTAGGACTACTTCTATGCTACTATATGCATGATTTAAGAGAAATATGTGTTTACTAATTTCGTACATTTTTCCATAGAACCGAAGATATAAAAAAGGAGAAAGAAGATGAAAACAGTGACGATAGAGCACAAGCAGACGATGAGGAACTCGTTTCTAATGCACCGTCTAAGCCTCATGAATGCACAATATGTTCGCGATCCTTTATATCACAAATTGGTCTACAAAATCATCTATGGTCTCATTTGCCTAAAGATAAGCGAACCGATGGAAAGCCTATCCTTAGATCACAACAAGTGTACTCCACCAACGGCGTGCTTCACATGAATACCGATAATAATTCATCAGGGAACTTCGTTTGTCCAATTTGTAGTAAAAAAATTTCTACCAAAGGCAATCTAAAAGTACATTTAGAAACGCATCGGCCTAAGGGGAAGTACGGTTGTGACATATGTGGTAGAATGTAAGCCAATCAATTAATAGAAAAATCTACGTTTGATGAAGCAAAATCTAGTAAGAACAAACAATTCTGTTTTCAGCTTTAAGACGCAATCAAATTTATTCAGACACAAGGAGTACCATGGAGGAATACAATTTCCATGCAATGTTTGTGGCAGAGTTTATCCAACGAATTCAACGCTGCGTGCCCACAGTATTACGCACTCGGATCTGAGACCGCACGCGTGTCCTCTGTGCGACAAAACATTTAAAAGAAATCAGGATTTGAAGTTTCATATAAATCAACATACAGGTGCAAGGCCTTACCAATGTCCTTACTGTCCAAAAGCCTTCGCGAGTTCAGGTAATTGTTTTTCACATCGTAAAAGGATGCATCCTCGAGAAGTACATCGAGATAGACAGAGAGCGGCAGATTTAATGAGATGAACCATGGGTAACCACTACGAAGAATGGTTTTAGAGAGACGTAATAATTTAGGAAACGATTGTTTTAGATGTTACCGAATGAACGAGCTTTAGTTTTGAATATTAATGGTGCTAACACGAGAGGCAACAGCAAATTTTGTATGCTTTCATTGACTCGTTTACGATTAGTGTTAGGTACGTTATTGTTAGCAACAGGCACTTAGTTGTTTGTTCTTGAGCCGTGACTAGGTTTTATTAAGACAGAAATAGCAACGGATAAATATATATATATACACACATACATACATATAGTATATATATATATATATATATTTCTTAATTTTTTAACTTATCGATGTTGCTGGACATGCATTTCCATTGTTGTTGATGAATTTAGTGATTATTATTTTATAACTCGTACGTACATAGTACAAGTGATAATAACAATAGGTTTTAAACACTCTAGTCGAAATAAGAAATTTGTATTTTTTACTGGTTTATCTATATTTACCATGTACACATTTTCTTCTCAATCCCTAGGATAGAAATTCTAATTAGACACCACTCTCGGTACCATTTCTTAGAGAAAATTCTACGAAAGTTTAATATCTAAATGGAAACAACAATTGTTGTATAACACGATAAACTATAAACAACATTAACAGTATACGTACAGTATTATTTGAATCGTTTCGAATTAGAATATATTAACTCATTGATTACGAACACGATGAAACATTAAATGATAAGCGATATCTTTTATGGGTTGACTAAAGTACCAAGTAAGACACGTCGAAAGGAACTTGACGGGATAAAACTGTGATTTTTTATAAATCGGCGATATCTTTGACATACGAAAATTGATCCGTGTTCCAATGGGTTGAGTATTCGACGAGTGAATCGCGAGTATCGTAGAATAGCGATAGCACAATTCATTGCGAAACGTTCACGCTCAAGATTTGTGTTCTCCAATGTTACTAGTTTTTCAAATCGTGAATTGTTCTTCATGCGTAACATGTTCGAGCGACATGTACTCGAATATCAATTAACGGAGAAAGGTACAAAGGTTTAACGTTCAATCATTTTACGTTGAATTGATAGTTTAGTCGTTGGCGGAAGCAATTTTATCTTGTCGTTATTTAAAAGACAAATGTATACATGCACACCGCACACGTACACGCGTAAACACAAAAAAAAAACATACGTGAACGGATTTGAGCGACGTCGAACGTTCTAAAAGAAAACGCGTTATTTTGTCCATACAAAGCATTGCTGTGTAACAGCAACTACTTCATAAGGCTACATTATACAAGACGGTGACCAAAGAAAAATCCAAGGAAAAACGAAAATGTTGAGGGGCTGGGGGTGGGGTGGGACGGGGTGGGGATACACTCTTGTGTACAAGGGAAAGTTGGTAGTTCGAGGAATATTTTTAGCACGATAAAAACGAGCATCATCATTGAGTAACGTTAAGACTGTATACGAAAATTCTGTGTCAAATTAGGTTAATACATTATAAATGTAAGGATAGTATACGAAATATCGATGGCCGTATTGTCATGAAAGATGCATCTAGTTTATTCAGATACAGTATTAAACGAGCTAACAAACGTGTAAAACGAAAACCGTAGATGCCGTAGACGAACGAGTTATGAACGATCCACAATGTTATTCTTTTAAACAGGTCTGTAAGGATTAAAATAAATGTTAACTGAAGTCTGAGTAGCTTTAGGAGGATCTAGGTAAGTTTAGTGGAGCCGTGTATTTCGTAGAGATCGTAGACCGTGCTTCCGTATAACGTACACACTCGCACACAGTTTGTGTGGTACCCAGACACAGGGACGGGTGGGGGGGATCTGAAATCGCAGAAAATTCGAATGGGAGGTAAAGCAACTGCTGACAAGTGGACTGCGGATTCTATAGAGTAGGCTTAGTATATTTTTTCGTTCTGATCTCAACATCGCGTGATCGAAGGAATAATTCGTAATGCAAAAAAAGAAAAAAAGAATCAAAATCCGCGGTCTTCTGGTGAGCTGGTAGGCGATTAGGGGATTAGTCGATTAGGCAATTAGACGAGTAAGCGATTAACCGAGTAACCGAATAACCGAGTAAGAGAGTATGGTAGCATTTAATGACGAGAAAATCTTGTGTAACCACGTTGCTACGTTAGCGATAGTAGGGTGACCAAGCTTTCGCCTCGACGATATCTCCGCGTTTAATGGACCAAAGATCTTCTTAGCTCCGATTCCGCGCGACACGAGAAACCAGCTGAACGACACATCGAAGCGTTTAACAATAACCGTTATTTATTCGTCGAGCAATCATAGCTTCCACGGGTCGCCCTAGCTTGTTAGAAACACAATTGTATATTTTGCGATTAAGTTTTTCGAGGACGCTTGCCAGTCGCATCAGCAACACGGGGAGAGATCATCGAGCGATCGCATTCGATGTATTCGCGAGAACGATCGATTTTTGTAAATGAGAAGGAAACAGAAAGCTCGGTTTTTCCATCCGACACCTTGGGCGGGGTTGGGCAAATTCTTCTGAACAGAATTCTCTCTGTAACTGCCAAACTTCGTTGCTTCCGAAACTTACGGTTCACCCAACAATGCGTACACAGTTTCGTTTTTATTACGTTTTCTCTTTCGAGATGAACAAACGTTCACTGGAGAATCAGCATCGATTATCCACCGGTGTACAATTCAATTTTCGATTGCCAAATGATTTGCTCAGTCCCTGCCGCAAGGACGGAGAAAATTGAGCTCGAGTCATTTGTCTAAAGTCCACGTACCGGAGTTGTCTAGCATCTAATTAGCGGTTAAACAATATCTCAGAAGTGCCAGTAACCAAGTGAACTAACGTAGCGTATTTCGGCAGACGAATACTGGATAATTACTTGTAGAATCAAGATATGAGTTATCCGTAATATCAATTGTGACACTTAATAAAAATAATTGTATAAAAAGCCCTCTCTCTGCTCTGCCCTGTTCCATCCCATTTCCCGTTCTATTCTGTGTCGAGCAAAACCTTCCCCCGCGTCCAACAACAAGTGCTCCAGAAAATTTATTACCGTTCATCGTACCACTCTTCCTTCCCTGTTGCGTTCGTATTTTCTTTTTGACGTCAGTTCCCTAACTTTTATCCGTACAAGCGTTGAGAAATATGAAATCTTCAGTTCCATGCTATATGGTATGATACGATACGATTTACGGCATGGTAGAAGTTTTACGATGATCAGAATCACGAACAGTCGGAGAGATAGCCGAGAACACGTACCACTTACATATGTATATGCATATACATATACATGCACATATGTATATGTGTAAGTCGCACAAAGCATGAGTCAGTGCTCGGAATAGATTGCTGGTGAATTCTTTTTCTTTCCTAATTGTTCCAAGTTCTTTGTAAGAAACAACGGTGCTGGACGGGTTAGGACACCGAAGTGAATTTAAACTAGCGTATATGTATTTCCTATTGGTTGTTCGATTATGTAAGACTCGGATGCGCTTCAGAAAGAAATCTTCGTCGTTCGGAGGTCTGTAGAATCTGTACCAGACACCAGAATGCCCCTTGACCTCTGTCCTTGGCACGATCGATCCTCCGCGTCGATCCTGCCGAATCGTAGAATCCTTCCAAATTTTCGCGGGATAGCTGCTCGGGAAAAAGCTCGACCACCCTCGCTCGAATGTCGACATCGGATGTCGGTGAGGCGAGAGAAAGTCTCGTTCTTTGTTGCAGTTTGAATGTTCCCAGATTCTACGCAAAAATGGACAATTTGGCAAGAGGAGAGCCTTTTATAGCTGTCGACAATCGGTAACTATGAAAACGGGGGGGCCGCAAGGCTCGAACAATCGTATCCCCTCTTCCAAAATTGTCCATTTTTGTGCGCGATCTGAGCGCGAATTAGGGAGAAATTACTGTGGTTTCAAAACAGGAAAGTCGTTTATCTTCGGCTTATTTTTATTCTGTCTCCTTTAATCCATCGCTTTCTCACACGATACCGAGCAAAGTTTCGCTGAAACCCATGTGTAACAATTGACTCATGCCTCTTATTGTCCGTCTTATATATAGCTTGACCCCTGTTTTGCGGGTGGCACAGACGGAAAGAGGATCTCTACTAATCTGTACAATTAAAGAATGAATTTACTCGAGCGTGGCGCGTTAAACATCTCTCGACCTGATTTATCGCGTTTTGACGAAATGCCATGATAGAGTGGGAATGTTCGCTGCAATAAATCTGCATGTTATCGGACCGATTATGTATGCGTTTACACAGATAACAAAGGTTTCCGTTCACGGTCAATTCGGAACGCTGGTTCAAATGCTTACTCAGAAAATATCGAAAGCGCACTTTTGGTATTTGTTAAAGCAGACAATGGTATAGTAAATTACTCGATTGAGACGGATTCTTACGTAACATCGCTGTTTATACTTGCATGTATACGAGCCGTTTATATTTTGAAAGTGGCGTAAGTCACTTTACCGTAATGAGAAAAGTGGTGATTTTTTTTAATGTTTATACGAAATTATTTATACCGAGAAACATATCAGTATCTCGAGATAACAGATACCAAGTAAATCTTCTCGAAAGTTAGCATCCATATTTTGAAACGGTGTTAAAACGCAAACTCTTCAATATATCGACTTGAAAACATTAATGACTTATGCCACTTCCAAAATAAACGGCTCATATATACATTGTAATCAGCTTCGGAAGTATAGATAAAACGTAGTTCAATGAAAGTCCTTGACTGTGGAGGTGGAAATATACAGGAGCTATGAAATGAAAATATTGAGAGCATATGCCTGGACGGAAGTTTTTGCTGATACGGCTCCGTACCGGATGAAAGTGAATGAGATAAAATGAACCAAAAAACCGAGTCCGGTCATCGTGAACCAAGTCAAACAAAAATAGATTCGAGTGAACTAGACCGAAACACGTTGCTTTCGGCTTGAAGCAGTTTAAGTAGTCGGTTAACTAACTAGAGGTATCGAGCATTAAAATCGGCTAGTTTCTATTGTTTTGTGTTATCAATTGTCAGTCATAGCGCGACCCTCTAAAAATATCTAGCGTCCAAACGGTTGATATTGTTTTTGAAAACTTTTGACGATGTTCTTGACGATGTGCTTGAAACGTTGACTTCTTAATAATGTCTCGCAATTGAACAAAGGGAAACAAATATGCAAAGCTTTCCATGCAGAGAAATCGTGGTGTCATGTTGCGTAATCGGCGCGGCTGAATCGAGCGATGAAATTGATGGGCGCGGAAGAGAAGTCTTTGCAACTTGAAGGAGTTGCATCATGGGTGTAACGGCTGCACGCGAGTTACAAACTTCTGCTAATTCTCCGCATTTGAAAAGTTTCACGCGGCCCGCCCTCGCTTTGCGACCACCTCCGCGACCGCACCTAGGGAAGAAGAAGAAGAAGAACAGCTGCAATGCCGTATCATTACGGCAAGGTCGTACACGGACATGTTGCCCCTAACGATACATTATGTTTAATCGAAGGATCCACCCGACCGCCAGGCGACCCTTTGCTGCTATAATTGTACCTTCCGTTTCGCGGCACTGTTCTCACACAATTCTATCTTCGATCCTGCTATGTTTTCTCGCGAAATCGAAATCGGAAATTTTATGTTTTATCATGCCGTTTCAATACTAAGAACAATGTATAAATTTGTCGGAATTGAATAACAAATTAATAAATAATAGTTACCAATAATAAATTGGAGTTACCAACGACTAGTTTTAAATGTAAACTAACAATAAGTTATTTCAAAGCACAGATAAGACAAAATGATAGTTCTCTACTGTATGTATTGCGATAAAATTTAGAATAGTGTAACAATAGGGTAATGATAATAAATAATAGATCGAAACAACGTAATGTTGTAGAAACGATATAGACTTTAATTATTATTTTAGAATCTTTGCTCGTAATACATATAATAATTTTCGTCGTTTATCACGTAGATAATTGCTTTTACGTCTGTCTGAAAACATTATCTTTGCCGGCGTATTTACGTGAAACTAGCGTTTGTTGGTTCAAAAGTTATATTGCTGATAAATAGAAACTGTTGCCGTTCGGAGATTACATCAGATAACGTACAAATACCTCTTCGACGTTGAAAATCAACTTACAATATCGTCCGCGTAAATGAAACGGCAAGACGAATTACATTTGAAATGTATTACGTCTGAAAAAGAATGACGGAAAGGTTTCGTTACACGGCGACGCGGCATTACGACCAATTCGGTTTAAATAGACTGGAACGCTCATGGAATCAACGAAAACAAATCATTATTTTCTGATCGCTAAAATTTCATTATTTCACGTTTCCACGTACAGTAAAAGCTCAAATCTTCAGATCGATCGAATTGAGCGAAAATTTGCTGTTTCGTCTTTCTTTATGAGAGACTTAATAATGTATTCTGTATGCATTGTAGACTATATGTATGTACACGTATGTACATAATTTGAACTTTCAGAAGTCAGTTAAACGAACGTAAAATGCAAAAGTTATGTATAAGGAGTCGAACAATTTACAGGTTAAGTAGTACAGTCATTGCAGGTTATAGTAACGAAAATTCACAACATTTTCCACGTGCTCACGTGTTCAAACGAATGTAGATACGTAACCCGATTCCTAGTTATTTTTTAAGAGGAAGCTCTGCTATTGGTGGGAATGGCGGAATAACAGGTCGCGTCGTTCGTAATGTCCTTCAAACGTTCCTATCGATTCTGAGAGTTTGGACGGAGAGAGATACACGGAGCCGAGTATAATACGATGTTCACCGTCGAAACGTGTTAGTTCGTCGGTAACGGTGCCTGTTGTTCTGTGGCTGGCGTAAACGTTCCTCGCTCTACAATAAGGAACCTACCTTCTTATTTTCATTCACTTTTGATTTCATTCTCAATTTTCCCTGTTTGCGATCGGAACCGTTGGACAGAGATTTCACAGAAAATGTCAGACGACGAGAGCAAATCATGGTGTAATTCTCGTCAAACTTGCGTAGTGCAACCGTTATTGACAGGTATTTAGGAATGGGATTTTACACGGATAACAAACTAGCCGCGAAAAGTAACCTCAAAATATCCGACTCTATTTTATTTCGTCGTTTATCTCTTCGTTGAAATCGCAACAATGATGTCACGCAGTAGTGGCGTTTCAAAATACAATTATGCACGTGGTATTCGTAAATGAATTCGATGTAGAATTCTCTATTCTCTCTTTCCTTTTTTCTTTTATTCCTATTTTCTTTTTCTCGTAAGAAAATCACACATTTTTGTATTTATACTATTTCTTTCTTTTATAGCCAATTGATTTTCAAGCATTTTACGATCACGCAATCTTTTTTATCGATGATGTTGTTGTTGCTATAATTGTTTAATCATTCACAAATCGAACATTATATACTGAATTATTATTAGTAGTCATTCCGGATAAGTGAATCTTAGTGTATTTTTTTGCACTTTTTATACAATTGTTCAAAATGATGTAACTTTGTATTCTTGATAATGTAAACACTTAATAATGACATTCGTTTAAATATAAGGTCATTACTTTATTTCAGATTTATATCAGATTTCAATGGCATATGCCTATTGGAAAAGTGGAAAGGTAAACGATCATGCAGTGTTTGACTTGTACTTTCGCAAAAATCCATTTCAAGGAGAATTTACTATTTTTGCGGGATTGGAAGAATGTATTAAATTTTTGGAGAAGTTTCATTATTCTTCTAGCGGTAAGTTTTCAGCATTCTTCTCACGTACAGGGTGGTCAGTAACTGGTGGTACAACCAAAATAAGAGATATTCTACTTATAAAAATAAATCAGAAAAAAATAATAACATTATTTTATTGGCTGCCTTTCTAAGGAAACTGATTTGGAAGATGCGGCAAATTCGCGTGGCTTGTAGTATGACGAGAAGTAGAATTGGTATGTCATAGTCAGACGCGCCATGTGATTCCTATTCAATAGTAGGGTAATGGAATCTACCATGGGGTAACTAATTGTCTGTGCCTTTGGTTTAAGTTTAATATATCTCTTGTTCGATAAACACAAAATTAATTTACTTCACAGTAACCAGTTCGACTACTTTATTATTTCTTCAACCTAATTTTTTGTTTAAAACGGAATCTTAAATGAAAAATATTCTACATTTTTATCTTATTTTTGTATGTAAAATCATCCCCTCCTGGTTGTATCACCAGTTACTGACTACCCTGTATATATCCTATTTGATAGTTTAGATATTTATTCTAGCTATTGATTTCACAGATATTAAGTACTTGAAGTCAACTATGCCATCATCGATGGATCAAAGGTTTTTCGATTACTTGAAAGACCTGACTCCCAAAGATGTGATAATATATGCTATGGAAGAAGGCTCGGTGGCTTTCCCAAGGTTAGTAGAAATACCATGTAATGTGCATGTATATGCAGATATTCAGTTATGTTAATCATCGTCATCATTGTCATCGTTTAGGGAAATTTTTCTTACTCTTAAAACAGCAGTTTAGAGTTAATGTTCGAATGCTTATCGACATTACATATTTGATGAAACATCAAACTTTAATAAGATAAAACTTCAATACAAATTGATATGTTATGCAGAATACCATTACTAAGAGTAGAAGGTCCATTAATAATGGTTCAACTTTTGGAAACAACACTGTTAACCTTAGTAAACTATGCAAGTTTAATGGCAACTAATGCAGCCAGATACCGTATGGTTGCTGGGAAAAATATAACATTGTTAGAATTTGGTCTACGAAGAGCTCAGGGTCCTGATGGTGGATTGAGTGCGTCCAAGTACAGTTACATGGGTAAATATTACCTAACATTTTCCTATAATAATAAATTGATTGCATACACTGTTTCAGAATGATACCATTTACATTTATTGAAAAAATTATATGAAGTGATATACGTATATAAGTATATAAATAATAAATACATATGTACACATATAATTTTTCTTTTATAACAGAAATTAATAAATGGTAGTACCATTCTTCAGTAGCCACAACTACCCATCTTGACAATAAAAAACAGATCAAGATAAATATATCTAATAAAGCATATGATTTTCATATTTCATGGTGTATATAGGGTGTCCCAAAACTTGTGGTACAACCAGCCGTGTAGTGATTTTACAAGTAAAAATAAATGAAAAGAAAGTAATATTTTTAAATTTAAGGCTTCGTTTCCGCGAAAAATTAGGTTGAAAACCTAATTATGTAGCACGTCTGATCATAACTTACCAATTCTACTTCCCGTCATGTCAGATACAAATCACACGAATTTGGCGCATCTTCCAACTTAGTTTTCTCAAAAACCCAGCCTTAAATGAAAAAATGTTATTCTTCTTTTCGACTTATTTTTGCATATAGAATCACTACCCGGCCGGTTGTATCATGATTTTGGGAACACCCTATATTTAAATTTGTACGTTGACTGAAATTTGATTATAAATTTTTAGCAGCAAGGAGATAATACCACATAAAATATTCCAATAATTACTGTAATTAATCTTGATTTTGTTTGTATTTGTAGGAGGCTTTGATGGTACCAGTAATGTATTAGCTGGAAAGCTTTACGATATTCCTGTTAGTGGAACACACGCGCATGCATATATTACGTCTTTTACGGGCATTGATGACTTGCAAGAACGAGTAAGAGAACGGTTAAGTAATATGTTCGTAGATTCATCGAAAATATTTTATGCTAATCAATCGTACTTCTTTTTCAGACTTTGGCGCATAAAGAGACGGGAGAGGTTTATGATCTTCTCGAATTAGCTTACAAACATCAGGATTCCATTGCAGCTGATGTAGGGACTCTAGTTTCTGAGGCTTCTAGTGGAGAATTAGCTGCTTTGATTAGTTATGCTATTGCTTTCCCGCAACGATTTGTTGCTCTTGTAGACACGTATGACGTGAAAAGGTATGACACTATGCTTACCTTGTTTATATTTTCATTCATCTCATATCTTTTCTTGTTGAAGTTTTTTTTTTACAATTACCCTCTTTTGTGTATTTGGTACGTGTAAGTAGATACTGCATTTTAATTTCATCTTATACATAGGCAATCTTTCTTCTTATTGTATGCATTTGTGTTTGAATACTTGCACGTATACTTTGAGAATTATACTTAAAAATGTGCACTGCCATATCTTTGTACTGGGTATAGTAACGCATAGTATGGTATGCTACATATAGCATCGGTTGTATTTTTAATCTTTTGCTATCTATAAGTATAAATATTATTATATGTTGCTATCTAGTGTGCATGGTTGTAAAGTAGTTCAAACAAAAGATTGCCTGAATTTTCAATATCCTTGCTTAGGCGAGAAATAAGGAGTCTCATCCAAATGTTTCTCAGTCGTTCTTATCGTTTCTATTCTTTTTAAAATTCAATTACGAAGATTCGCGAAACAATATTTTCAAAGAATTCGCTATGATATTTTGGATACAAGCTATGTTTGTGTTTTATAATTATAAAAAGAATTTTGTATAGTTATATCACATTACGTGTAGTTGACAATATTGCTAAATACTATAGGTATTATATCGGTAGCGTGATTTCTATTGAAAAAGTATACTTAATCGGGTTCGCTACATGCATTAATAATTCTAATTACACATTCATAAAGCAGGCATGATGAAACATATACACACTGTACCCTAACAGGAGTGTGTTTATAGCATCGAAACCACGGCCAAGAGACAGGCACATATAGCCAGCCTAAATGTAAAGAATAAACGTCTAACAAATGGGTCCAATTCACTTGCTCAAAATGGTGTCAGAAACAATCCGATTTTATCAGAAACGACTTCGCATCACAAGAATGGCTTTTTAAGACGAGGCGAATTGGGTGAGCTCTATGTGAGGTACGATTCTTATCCTCTCTGTCTGCTTTGCAGGATATAAATCATCATTTTTTTTAATCTACAAAATATAAGTTAATCGATTATATTACCTTTTACAAGTAGAAAGATTGTACGTTTTTAGAGATTGTATTATGTTTAATGTTCCTTTCATCGATATCAATTAAACATTTATGACTATACATACAGTTTTTACTAGTAACTTCGTGTCACTGAAAAACAAATTTTGCTCGATTCGAATCATCTGCAAAATGAAAACTTCATTCTGTAAAGCGGGCAAATTTATATTCCGGAATATCTTGTTCATAGCATGAAATAACTAAGACGAAACAAGGCAAGTGCGATATCGTCTTTGTTTTAAATGTACGACCTTATATAGTACCCTTCCCAATTCAGCCATTTAACTAAATAGTTATTAATTTAATGTACTTAATCTGAAAAGATATATTAAATCATGCCTTGTAGTTAAAAAAAAATGTTGATAAAACAATGCAAAGTTGAATTTTGTCTATTTACAAGTATTAGATAGTTTGCATGTAATGTTAATTGTTATATGTTCTGTCCAAATTAATATAAGCACAAAACAATGAGATACTTCGTGCATTTACACATAATCAATGATACTGCATGTTCTACACTCATTCCTTTCATATTATAGTTGGGTAGAGTAACATTAGAATTATGTTTTATTGTGTAGAGTTTTTCTAGTTTATTAATGATATTGGTGACGTAATTTGTAATAGTAGTATTACGTAATTTCGTGGATGAAAGTGTAGGGCATATTACGAAATAATTAATCTTTTCTTTGTAAGTTTATAGCAATATGTCTAAGTACATAGATTATCAATATATGTATATAGTAGCTGTAATAGCAAATTATTATATTTAGGAGTGGTCTGTTAAACTTCTGTGCTGTGGCATTAGCTTTGAATGACTTGGGTTATAAAGCAATTGGTATCAGAATCGATAGCGGTGACTTAGCATACTTAAGTAACACGGCCAGAGATATGTTTGAAAGAATTGCGATCAAGTATAATATACCTTGGTTTGCAAAGTTGATGATTTGTGCATCAAACGATATTAACGAGGAAACTATTCTAAGTTTAAATGAACAGGTAAATACATCTGTAATAAAACATTGTAAATATATGTTTCTTTTTCCTATGTGAAGAACTTAATTTTTGTAGAGCCATAAGATTGATTGCTTTGGAATTGGTACACATCTAGTAACATGTCAAAGACAACCAGCACTGGGTTGCGTGTACAAAATGGTTGAAATTAACAATCAACCCAGAATGAAGCTCAGTCAAGAAGTTGGAAAAGTAACAATACCAGGAAAGAAAGATGCGTTTAGATTATATGGAACAGACGGATATGCTTTAATTGATCTTCTGCAAAGATCTACCGAAGAAGTTCCACAAGTAAAGCAGAAAGTTCTTTGTAGACATCCGTTTCAAGAATCAAAGAGAGCGTATGTTATTCCAACGCAAGTGGAATCTCTACATAAGGTAAATTGATACATTTTTTAATTGAAAAGCTACAAATGTTTAGTGTTATAATATTGCACAGGTATATTGGAAGAATGGTAAATTATGTCAATCACTACCCACATTGCATGAAATAAGAAATAGAGTTCAGGAATCTCTGAGAACTCTGAGGAATGATCACAAAAGAAATTTAAACCCTACACCATACAAAGTAAGTACTATGAATACGTCAAATTCGGAATATATGCTTCTTGAGAATATATATATATATATATATATATATCGACTGTTATAATGAACAACATTTATTCAGGTCGCTGTCAGTGATGATTTATATAATTTTATACATGATTTATGGCTTCAAAATGCACCCATTGGTGAGCTCTCGTGAAGCTATGAGTAAATCACTGTTACAAACTGGTTACAAAAAAAACTCGTAGTTGTTAACACATGAAATAGACCGTATATTCTGGTGGCCTATATGATATATTATATCGAGGGTTTCAAAAGTTTATTTTTTACACTGTTCAAAGAACATCTACATGTATAACTATCGTTTGACTATAGTAGTATATTTTGATAACTTATGCAAATCGTTTACATAGTTTTTATAAATATAGGATTATCTATAGAAAGTATTGCAATTGTATGGATTATACTATAAACATATAGTATTTATCAGAATCGGTAATCACATTTCACTTTTCAAAGGCGTAAAACGGGTAAACACAAATTAGTCATGCACAATTCACGTAGAATTACTTTTACTTTTTAAAGAAACAAAAAAGATAAACTGTATATGCAATGCAAAAGAAATTTGCATCCAGTAATGTAAATAAAGTGTAAATAATGGTCGACGTTTTACAGATTATTCTTTTTATATTATTTTGTGTTTGTTTATAGAAAATAATTTTTCTCAAGCTTTTTTAATGAAATAAGTTGTGCTTTGCAGTGCAAGCACAACATTAAACTAGAAAAACAACTTTGTAAAATAAGTGTCTGAATGTTTATGAACGCAACCTGTGGAATATTGTATGTTCATAAACAAACCAGTAAAAGTTCTGTGGTGTAACTTCACGTTATGAATAACTTACAAATTTCAAGCATAATAAAATTTACATAGAATTTTAAGATGTATAAATATGTAAAAAAAAGTACATTATGAACAATATATTGTATATATTTGATATACAATACTTGTTTTTTAAAACAATTCATCCAATAACATTGACCAAAATATTGCAAAGTTCCTTGAACTTTTACTGATTTAGATCTGACTCTTTTGGATGTGTTTACATATAATTTGATCTTGTTTTTGTACTGTATAATTGTACATATTGCGACGTACTTTAGAAATATGTATACATATACAAATAAGTTAGTATTGAACAATGATAGATTTTTACACAGAAATTTTATTGTACGTGCATCTGTAGATCTACTGTTTTTTTTATATTAGAAAAATTTAATGTAAACTGATATATCAATAAAAAATAATTGTTTTTACATTTTATTTTCATTTAATTCGTTATAACAAATCATTACATATCTGCAACGAAATCTGTTAAAATATAACAATAACATAATAACAAATTAGTTTGCTTTTCTTTTCTTAATAATATTTCAATTTACAAATCCTTCATTATATTACAATTTAAAAAGCCACATGGCGGTTTTGTATGTTTTCGTAAATAACATTTCGAGTTTCTTCAACATTTTGCCTTCATGGCCGTGGACAGTGGGCGCGGATAAATGCGAACCCAATTATATGTATATTGAACATTAACTATGTCCCGTAGGACATGTTATGTAGAAGAAGTAACAAAATTGCACAATATCGATAGATTAAGCGATACTGACTTGCAGAAAAGATTATTACATACTTTGATGTGTAATTTTAATTAGAAATATACATCCTGTGATATTGGAGGGGTTATAATCAAGGTCAGTTGATTCATTTTCGTACTGTCCTCTAACCTCTAACAAAATAATAGTTTAATATAAACGATAGGAAAATCGCATGTACGTTTCTTCTTTTGCAGGACAAATAATCAGTGTATTAATAAAATTGTCACATATCCAAAGTTAATTTACAATTAACGTATTTTAACTATCTCTACTTATCGCGTGTAAGCTATTGTAGATAAAAAATATGAAAAAAGTTCCCCAAGTTATTGCAAAATCTTGCCCATTTATTACTCTGTTTTATAGTTTAATCGTTGTTATTCTAACCACATATATTAATGGACGAATTACTCCAATCTTTATATTTCTTTGCATTCAAGCATATTTGAATTGGTACTCAGTGTACATTATTGGTCGTAAAACAACAATTATGGAAGTTACCACAATAGGAAGGAAATCGATATATAACAAAGTAGCAAATAACACGGAATATAAATGGTACTGTGAGAAATGCATCAAATATACATGCAAACCAACACAGCACTGCATTTTCTGTAGAAAATGTTTTCACTTTCGAGATCATCATTGTTTTTTCTTAGGTGCTTGTATACTACGACAAAACATTGGAAATTTCATCTTATTTTGTTTTTATGCATCCTTAACATGCATATACTCATTGTGCACGCTAGGACCTTATCTGTATGAAAATATCAATCGTGTAATAAGATCAGATACAGATTCTTTCAATATATTCTTAAACTTCTGTTTTCCTGTTGCCTTGGTTAAATTATTATATTCTAGACAAAACAGTTACATATTACTTGTAACAATGTTTGATATTTTAGTTACCGTTTCATGTATTTGCTTAGTGTACGCAACATGGAAATTACATAGTTGCACGACTGGTAAACAAGGCTATTCTAGCACATTGGGAAAACAAAACTTAAATGAAATTTTTGGTAATTATGGTCTTTC